GCCAGCGACACCTCTCCTGGAGAGCAAGATATTGCACACACACACACCGACTCCCACAGAGGTGACCCCACTGGGCCTAAATTCTCCCCCTGCTCCTCCGTCCTGCCAGCCTTTCTGTATATATATATATATATATATATATATATATATATACACGCGTGCATGTGTGAGCTAAGCCTTCCATGCCAGCCGATTAAATCAATGCTCGCTCCTGAATCTGTCTACTGGGGGCTCCAGTTTCTGTCAACCACACAGCCAATCAAAATGCTCAACCTGTGCACCCCCCCTCCCTCAGCCGACAAGCCAATCACACCGTGCAGCTCACAGGAAGGGTCTGTAACCTGGGTTATAGCAGTTGCCTTGGCAACAGGCGTTATCTAAGCATGGGAGCGAGTGGGGGGTAAAACTGACTTTTCATCTTCTACCGAAGTCTCAAAGTTGCAACACAGACATTACTGATGGCACACTGGTTTAGTGGAAAACAAAAGCACGTGATCGTTATCAGGGACAATGGTTTTTGCCCGTCTGTGTGTTCATCACCAAAATATTTCATGAGCCACTGAAGTTTTTTTTTTTAATGTTTAACGGAATACCCAAAGAAAATGGACCAAAATGAGCTGACTTCAAGACCAGTAATAATTAACAGTGATTTATTTACAGTGAAACAGTTCAGCAACGTGCACGGGGAGGGACTGGAACCAGGTGGAGTTATGGATCGTCGAGGGAGCACAGGGTCCAATGGTTTCAATACGATGAAGGAAGATGTCCGAGGTAAGTCTCAGATAGTGGTTGGAAGACGAGGAGACAGCTGAAGAAGACGCAAGGAAACTCAGGGCCACACAGAGGAAACCAGGAACAGGTAGTCAGCAGAACTTGATGCTAGAGGCATGTAACGCTCCAGAGGCGAAGAGAACTCTTCTGCAGCCTTTTATATTCCTACAGCTCAGGTGTGGCTTGTTGGCACCATCTTGTGACTTCAGGAGGTTGAGAAACCAGAACGCCCACAGTCTTGATGAAACTGTTGGAAAATCTTCATTGGATGAACACTTACAACTAAAAACCTGTTTGAGTCAGGCCAATTCAAGATGGCTGTCAAAGCCAACTGGTATTAACAAAACAACACAAAAATAGCTTAAATTTGATCAGATTTTCAGATAAGGACCTAAAGGTTGGAGTGGTAGTTACTGAGAGTCATCATCAATGCACATTCTTAGGACTGAGCTTTGTTCAAAAGTAAACCATTACTTTGTAGTCTGTTAGCAAAATATATCATGAACTAGAATTTTATTGAAACTTTTAGGAAATAATCAATGGATGTCTAAATACAAAAAGAAAACTTTTAGAGTCAACTCAGATCAAGATGACCACTGATCACCTTTTGGACTCAACCCAATCCAAGATGGCCACCACAGCCAACTGACATCAGCCAACACAAATCCAACTTTACATTCATCAATTATACATATATTGAGCTAAAACTGGGCGTGATCGTAGCTGAGAGTCATCTTCAACACAGGCACCAGGTGTTAGAGTTAACTATGCCTGTCTGTTAGCAAAATATCTCATGAACCACTGGACTGAGTTTAATCAAACTCTCAGAAAGTAACCATTGCATGGTCAGCAGCAACTGGCAACCTTTTGGAATCAACTCAATTTAAGATGGTAGTCACAACTAATCAACTTAGCGAACACAAAAAATGGCTATAACACACTTATTTTCATGGCTATTGAGCTAAATTTTAATTTAGTAGTAGGTGAGAGTCTTCCGCAACAAAGGCTCTGAGCACTAAGAGATTACACAAAATGATTCATTCCAGGTTGGCCCAAACCGGCTAAAGCTCAAGCTGATTTTATTTTGTTTTTAATTTAACCTGTATTTATACAGGTAGTCTCATTGAGTCACGAGGTCTCATTTTCAAGAGAGATCTGTTTGGGAGCAGATGGTGGGGGTTAAGGGCCTTGCTCAAGGGTCCAGAATGGGGCAAATGAGGGTGGAGGCAGGTGTGGGTGTTTCACTTTTCCACCCACATTTGGATGTTGTCGATCTGGGGAGTTGATCCGGCGACCTTCTAATCACAGGCCCACCTTCTCTAACCTCTGCACCACCACTCCCCAGGTACTGGGCAGTATGCATTCCTTTAAGTATTACTACACCTCGAAATGTCTCCGTGATTTCAATTCTCCGTCCTTTATTCTCCTCACTCTTCTGT